GCCCGGCCCCGGACGCGCGTACCTGGCTCTCGGCTTCCTGCCCCGAGACCTGTGAAGTCACTGATTTGTTTTTGCAGGGGTCTGGTCTTCCTCCCGTCAGAACAACCAGAGCCTTTGGGCGCTGGATTGCTGAAAACTATATGCGCATTAGAACGCTAGTAATGAAAATACGTTCCCTAAGGGAGAGGCCACAGGCACGGTACATCCGCGCCGCTTTGAAATCTGCTGGCACGTTGATCTACTGCAGGTGTTGCATCCGCTGGCCGCTCTCTCCCTCCTCTCCCCACACTGCACACCACCGCCGCCATGTGCCCCGTGCAACTCCAGATAACCATACGCACCCCGCTTAACTCCAGATAAATAGATATATCTCCTATTGCTAGGGAATCAGGAAGACATTTGAAACACAAACAATCTAAAAGAATATTGCCTTTCAGGGTCAGTTGTTTCTTTCCCCAAAGCTAAATGATTTAAAAAACTCCAACCTTTAAAAGAAAGTAATTTCTCCTGCCTTCTCTCCCCTACCCCCTCCCACATGGGGAGGAACAGACTGCTCCTCTGGGCAGGACTGACTATGGTCTCCTTTTCCACTTATCCTCTCTGCTCGGACACATACAATTTAATTCACACACGAGTAGGTAAACAGCTTCAGAGAGAAAGAAACAGACAAATGTGGGGGGCTCGGGTGAAGATCTTGAGATACTCTTTATGCCTCTAGAAAGTTTGAGCAGAACCATATTTACTCATCTTTTGTGGCCAGTGTGGATGGTTAATCCAGACAACATAGATTCCCAAATGAAATTTTAACTTGAATTTTCAGGCTTGGTCATTTATATTGCCCAAACTGAGGGTTTGTGAGAAATTAAAATGATCATAACTATTAAATTAGGAATGGAGGAAAACAAACAGAAATAACTATTCTGGGCTAATCTTTTCTTGTTGCATATAATTTTGACATTTGGGCATGTTCATTTTGATAAGTGGGTTTGAGGATGGAGATTATTTTAGGTGTAACATTTTTTTCTATTGGGAATTAAAAGGTAACTTTAAATTTACCAAAGAGTGATGACACTGATATTGCAAAAGATAGGAAAAGAGACAGGAGAAAAAATTAGAATGGGCACAAAATATGGATGCTGTAGTCGTGTGGTAGCCAGTTAGACAGACATGAGCAGAGCAAAGACAATGGGCCAGGTACAGAAGGGCACCAGGGCAGAAAGCCCTGGATACCTAGCAAGGGGCAGAACAAGGACCTTGCCCCAGGGTAACATTTCCTGCCCTAGCATGTTGCTGGTCATGGGCTTTAGACCCCTGACCTTTCAAATCACTGGCCATGACCTTTCCTGACCCTCCCCTGACCTTTCCTCCCCTGGCATGTTGCTAATCATGCAGGTTAGACCCCCTTAGAGGGGGAACAAGTGAGAGGCCTGGAGAATAGCCCTTAAGCATTAAGCCCCCAGGACAATGAGGTTCTACCCCCAGCAGATCCGTCTAGGCACATCAATTGTGTTTCAGCTCCAGGCCCGGAAAAGCAGCAAAACCAAACAAGTGACACGGTGGCTGATTTCAAGACCAGCTGCATTGACGAATGATCCCAGTCCGTGGAGACATCTGGAAAACTGATGAATATTCTATTGGGACCTCTTCTGGGACCTCCCCTAAAAATTCCTTTAAAGCCCTTAGGACATAGGACCCAGCGCTCTCCCTCCCTGGAGCATGCCTGCCTTTCCTCTTCTTTACCCCCAGGTGTGTTGCCTTGACCTTCCCCTCTCCTAAGCTCCACGTACCCTTCTTTTGCCTCTGTAACTTTCTCTTATAATTTGAATCTTGGCTCTGAATTCTTTCTTCGCCAGAACTCAAGTACCAAGGTTGCTAAATCAAGGTCCGGTCTGACTCCACCAGCCTAACGCCTGGTGCCAGTCTCACCACTGCCAACAGTAGGAGCCAGACATGTTTTTCCCTCTCTCTTTGAAAAATCCAGAACATTATGCCATTAAAAAAGTTGTAGATGGTTATGCTTGAAATTTTCAGTCATCATATTCAAATAAAAATGAGTATACAAATTCGTTCAGATGATTAAGAGAAAGAATGAAATGAGAGATTATTGCTTATCTTCATCATTTAAGGCTCTAGAGCTTTGAAGATACGTGATTTTCTGTTTTGTTCGTTTCTTAAGAGACTGAGGCGGAGATAGCTAAAGGTTATCCATCCAGCACTTTAAAATAAAAACGTGAATCAAGATTGCACACCGTGGTTGGGTGAATGGGGTCTCCTGGGGTTGTGCAGATGGAGTGAGATGTAGAGCACACGCTTCATGCCTGAGCCCTGACTCGCCAGCCCCCTCCTCACTGCGTGTGCACAGACACCGAGCTCGCACGACAGGGAAAGCAGGCCCCATTCTCATCTTCACTGGGCCACAGCTTTGGTCAAGGAGATTCAATAGGACTCCCAGCCCTGTAGGAAACATACATGGATTAGTAGGAATGACCTTCTAGTAGATTCGATAATTTCCAGTGAGCAAAATCCAGCCATATTCTGGTTGTCATTATTTAAAATCTGTGTCTCAGTTATTAATCTCATGCTGAGTAAGCAGGAATAAAACCCTTGATATCCATTTCTTCCACTAAATAGCATCCTTCTATATTACTAATGTGTTTATGCATCATTTATTCATTCATTCAGCAAATCCATATAGAGTACCTCTAGGAGCCAGGCACCCTAGGAGGTGCTGGGAAAGCGCAGTGAGAGAGACCGTCGAAATCACTGGCCTCAAGAAGCTTATATAGTTGATTCTTGAACAATACCAGGTTAGGGGTGCCCCTTGAAAATCCATGCATAACTTTTGACTCCCCCAAAACTTAACTACAGTTGTCCTTGGCATCCACCGATTCAACCAACTGCAGATCGAAAACAATATTTTTGATCCATGGTTGGGAATCTGCAGTTGGGAATCTGTGGTTGTGAATGTGAAAATATACTGTTTTTGAAATGGGGTTGGCTGAATCAGAAGATGTGAAACCTGTGGATAATAAGGCCACCTGTATTTATTGAAAAAAATCCACATATAAATGGACCTGCAGGGTTCAAACCCATGTTCTTCAAGGGTCAACAGTACTTCTGTTATCTAATAACTATGTCATACACTTTCTGCAGGTGCTGAGCAGGGAAGGGAGTAGAGGACATCTTAGCTGTGCAGGTGGGGTCATTATCATCTGCTGGTGACAATTTCCTGTTATCTAATTACATTCTGAAAAAGTGTCGTCAGAACAAATGCACCAAACGATGATGCTGCTTTCTAGAAGCTGACCCTGCCATTGACTGTCTTTACCCAACAACTCACCACAGCAAAGTATAGCTCTGGTTACCTACTAACAGAGCTTTCTCTGAGTTCCCTCCAAGAAATTGTGTTGTTCAAATCATAGGATAGTTATGAGTATTTAATGTGATTTTCTTAAGCCCATGGTGGGTGCTCAGTAAAACTAAGTTATTCAGAATAAAATGACCACAGCTCTGTCTATGGCATGAAATTTTCAGCTTCACATCTGTCCCAGAACTAGAACAGAGCTGGAGCTGTTTTCTGAGACCCCTGCCCCTGCCTTCATGGGGTGAGGTCCATCCTAGCCCAGCTCCTCCATATTCTCAGAAGATGTGCTGACCTCAGCTCTGCTAGCTGTCACTGCATCGCTGCTGTCCTCCCGAGAGCATGGGCTGGCTAGTTTTCCTAGACCCCCTGAGGCCCCCACTTATCACAGCTCTGTAGGCAGAAAAGACAGGAAAAGAAATCTTGGTGATTTCAAGTCTCACAATGTTGTCCTAAAAGTGAGGATCCTGCCCTGAACCTTGGTTTGCAAACAGACACCCAAAATAGCAGAATGAAGTTAGCTGGTACAAAGGAGACAAGCTAGCAGATGGAGAGTGAGGGTGCATGAGGGAGGTGCTTTGGCTAATAAAGGGGGTCGGGATTGGTTGTTCTGAGAAGAAAGGAGGGATGCTTGCAGATAGGAGGGAAAGGTGCAAAGGCCCCAGGGGAAAAGAGCCCGGTGTGCTGGGCACCCTTTAACCTAGAGAAACTGTGTGGCTGAAGAGCGGGGAGCTGGGCTGAGTGGGCTGAGCCAGGCTCGGGGAGGGCAGTGGAGACCACAGGGCCAGGGAAAGGGCTTTGGATCTTATTCCAGGTATGTCATACTTGCAGATGATGGAAACTTATCTTAGGAGAGGAATAGGCTTCTACCTCTAGCAAAGTGAGAAAGGAGAGAGACTGAGTCAAGGGGGAACATGTGCATATGTTAGGCCCTTGGTTTTGTCAACTAGACCCAGGGAGATAAAAGGCCAAGTGAGCCATTGGCATGCCTGGGTAGTAGGCCTCCTAGCAGAAAACAAGATGGGTCAGCTCTAGTTCACGAGCAGAGCAGAATAATTGAGCTGGGCTTCAACTGATTTTACCCCTTTGGAGAATGAGATTTGCATTTAGTTATTTAACTAAACTTTGTC